TATCTATCTATCTATCTATCTATCTATCTATCTATCTATCTATCTATCTTTGAGGCAGGGTCTCTTTATATAACCCTGGCTGTCATGGAACTCACTATTGTAGACCAGGCTGGCCTTCAACTCAGGATCTGCCTGTTCCTGCCTCTTAAATGCTGGGCTCAAAGGTGTGCACCACAACCCCCATCCCACCCCCCTACTCCCCACCCCCCAGCTGACACTCTATTTCTTACCAAGTATCTCAATTCAATCTAAAACAACTTAGGCCCAGGCCACATATTCTACTTAGCCTCTCATACCTTAAGATATAAAGGAGGAGGCTAGAGAGATGGTTCAGTGGATAAAGTCCTTGCTATGGAAGTATGAGGCTCAGAGTTCAGATCTTCAGAACCCAAAAGCCAGGAAGGTACAGTGGCTTCCTATAATCACAGCACTCAGGAGGCAGAGACAGGCAAGGTAGGGGTAGGCTGTCTAGCTACAACAGCTGAATCAGAAAATACTAGGTTAAGCAAGAGAGAAATCCTTACTCAATAGAGAAGAAAGAAGGAAGGCCTTTGACACTTTGGCCTCCGTGTGTGTGTGTGTGTGTGTGTGTGTGTGTGTGTGTGTGTGTTCACACATACAGACATCAGACACATATAAAAATTAACAAACAAAACAAATAATGTCTTACCACTGCCACTCCAGGGAAGAGTTGGGATACCCGCTGTTTGAGCCACAATAGAAGACGCAATCTTATCCCCCAAAGCCCACATGGCCTGGCTTGGAGGGCCTAAAACAAGATAAGAAAGGAACCTTAACAGCAGCATCTCTGCCTCCTTATATTTGGTACTTATATTGGCCTTATAATTATTTTTGTATTTCTTTTGTCTCACTTATGACATATGGTGACCACTATGTTTGGACGCATTTTTACATTGTTTCTAGAATCCAATGTTGTACACAGGGAAAGCCTAATATATAGAAATTCTATCTTTAAATTTCTGAAAAATACAATTTCTGTGAACTGTGTTCCACATTAACTAAGTAACAAAGTCATTTCTCCAAAGCTAAATCCTAAAGTAAAGCTGGTAAAATTTTAGGGTTTACATCTGAAATATACCTTCCTTAGTCTCAGGAAACCTAACATAGAGATTTTTTTTCCCCTTTAATAATCCTTACAAAGCATCATCAGGATTGTGGAGGGGCCCTGACACAGAAACAACTGGAGCCATGTAACCACCATTTTTCCTTTTGCCATGAAAAAAAGAGAAAAGCTGAAAAGGATAGAATATATAATTTAATATATGCAAGTATATATAATATATAAATAAATATAAATACATATAAATGCAAAGGGACTGATTCATATATAAGGCCAATATAAGTACCAAATATAAGGAGGCAGAGTTAGTTACATTTACTATCAAAGCCGGGTCCTTCTTCTACATGTTATCTTAATGTTAATGGAAAAGTTTTTAAAAAGTCAGTGTTTCAAAAACCAGTCTTTTTTCATATCTCAGACTAAAGTACTCAGTAACAGAAAACACCATCAAGATAAAGTTAAAAAAAAAAACATAAACAACTTAAATGAAGGGATGCCAGGCATTGGTGGTATATGACTTAGGAGGCAGAGGCAGGCAAATCTCTGAGTTTAAGGCTAGCCTGGTCTAAAGTTCCAGAACAGCCAGGGTTATACTGAGAAATTCTGTCTTAAGAAACCAAATTATGAACATAGTAGAGCACATGATCCTATGGTATGGTGGGGCATCTTTTAGGTACAGGCCCAAGAGTGGTATAGTTGGGTCTTCAGGTAGAGGCTCAACAAGCAGCTGACTGAGACAGAGGCAGACACACCCAAAAAATGGACTGAAGTTAGGGACCCCTGTGGTTGAATTAGGGAAAGGCTGGAAGAAGAGGAGGAGGAGGGTGACCTCATAGAAAGACCAGCAATCAACTAGCCCGGACCCCTGAGATCTCTCAGACACTGAGCCACCAACCAGGCAGCAAACATCAGCTGATATGAGGCCCCTGACACAGATACAACAGACTGCCTGGTCTGGCCTCTAGAGAAGACACACCTAACCCTGGAGAGACTTAAGGCCTCAGGGCCCTGGAGAGACTTAAGGCCTCAGAGAGTGGAGAAGCCTGGAGGGGGTGGGGGAACATCCTCTCGGAGACAGGGAGTCAGAGGAATGGGATGAGGAACTGTGGGAGGGCAGACTAGGAGGTGGGTAACAACTAGACTGTAAAAAAATTAAAGTAATTAAAAAAAAACTATATTAATTAAAGAGTTTTTAAAAAGTGAAGGTTATTCTAAGAGCTGCTTACTGTTTTAAAAACAAAGGAAAGTAAGACTATATATAGAGTAGAGTATGGACAAACTGACACAAGAACGGCAGGAACAGTAGCTCATAACTTACCCATGAAAGCAATGCCATTTTTTAAGAGCAGCTCCGGGAGCTTCGGGTTCTCAGAGGCATGACCCCAGCCAGCCCACACCGCCTACAACAGAGTAACAATGTGGATCATCCTTAAAAGTGATGCCAAGAAGCTACAAACTGCCTTACTGCATCCAGGCCTGCCCTCCTAGATGTGGTACAAGAGTTCTGCAGCAGCCCTGTGGTTAATTCAACTGCTGTGCCTGACAGCTGGCAAATCAGCAATAACAATAACCAGATGATTGCAGGAAAAGCCCTCAAGAGAGCAAGACCAAGCAGAATCAGAAAGAAGCACAAGTCTTGCTCCTTAGGAAATATAATTCACAGCCCTTCAGGCTAGGCTCTCTAGAGCTTTATAAAGAAACCCTTCACAGTCTGGCCACCCAACTTCCTGTCTAGTGGTGAAAAGGTCACAAGAATCTAGCAGTAGTTCTCAATCTGTGGGTCTCAACCTCTTTGGAGGTAGAGCAACACTTTCACAGAGGTTACATAAGACCATTAGAAAACACAGACATTTACATTACAATTTATAACAGTAGCAAAATTATAGTTATGAAGTAGCAACAAAGCAATTTATGGTTGGGTCAGCACAACATGAGGAACTGTAGTAAAGGGTGAAGCATTAGGAAGGATGAGAACTACTTCTTTAGAGGGTTTCTTCCCCTTATTGGGCTTTAAGGTATTCACTCTAAACTTCACAACACAATGTGAAAGGAAGAAATAATTTTCTAAAACATCACCATATTATAGCTAAGATATTCTGTAGGAAATAGTCTTGTACTTACTAGAGATGGCTTTGTGCTCACTAGATAATAAAAAGAAGATTCTCTGAAAAATCTTTCTCAACATTCTATTTCTATTATGTTCATTTTTAACTATGCCTTCCTTCCCATGTCTTCTTTCCTTGTCTATTTTAATTATTTCATATAAAGGCATTTACAAATTTTCTAGGGCTGGGGAGATGGCTCAGTGGTTAAGAGCACTAGTTGCTCTTACAGAGGATCTGACTTCAATTCCCAGCACCCACATGACAGCTCACAACCGTCAGTATCTCCAGTTCCTGAGGATCCAACACCCTCACATACATACATATGCAGGCAAAACATCAATGCACATAAAATAAAAATGAATCATTAATTTTTTTTAATTCCAAAAACAGACTTTACATTAACTTTTCTGGACACAAGTCTACCCTTCTGATTAAGTGTGAAATACAGGGATCTGTTTCTCAGACTCTTACTTGCACAGGTATCCTTTTGGCAATATCAAGAATTAACTCCACATTTGCATAATTGTTGTTGTTTGGTCCTCCAGGCACTGGAACATAGTGGTCTGCCATCTTAATGTACTCTAAAAACACAAACAAATTAATGAGATCATACAGTTCTTTCAAAGTATTATCATAGAACAAAACTATGGTAAGGACAGAGACTATTCTCAATAACCACAGAATAAATGGCATAATTTAAAAATAAAAGTACTAGGATAATTTCTATGTCTTTCATTGGATGTTCTGATTTTAAATCACATATTGAGGAACCATCTAAAGCAGTAGTTTTCAAACATTTCACTTTAAAGTTAGTTTTTGCTTCTTCTCTATAGGAGCGAACATGGTAATTCCAAAAGAATTAGATTACACATTCAGGAGGTAATAACACTATTTTTACAAAGTCAAGTTCAGGGAGATACAGTGACACAGAACTGCAACTCCAGCATTCAGCAAGTAGAGGAAAGAAAATGCCAAGTTTGCAACCAATCCAGGCCACAGAGTATGACCTTGCCTCAAATGTTTAAAACAGATCAAAAATCACCCACTGTCTATCTTGTAGATAACAAGCTCATGCTCTAGCATCTGTGTAACCTTATAGAACAATAAACTACAGTCAGTTTAACAACATGTTGTGGCACACACACATGCACACACACATACACTGAACTGCTGACACTTCCATCTGTACTATATCTTCAGTTTTGACACTATCTGCCACTGTTTCGAAGTACATCTCTTTGGTTACCACTGACACAGAATCTCTTTTCATATGCTTAGTACACCTTTTATTTCTTTCTCTTTTTTCCTTTTCTTTTTCTTTTTCTCTTTCTTTTCTGATTTTTCAGAACAGAGTTTCTCTGAGCAGCTCTGGCTGTCCTAGAGTATATAGTTCTATAGACCAGGCTGGCCTCAACTCTTGCCTCCCAATTGCTAGGATTAAAGGCGTGCACCACCACCCAGCTACTTTTCCCTTTTAAATGTACTTTATTTTATGATTTGTTTTTGAGATGGAAATTTCCTATGCTAACTAGACTGGCCTTGAGTTCTAGGATCAAGCAAGCTTCTTGCCTCAGCCTTGAGTGCCTGGGACCACAGCCTATTCCACCACATTTACCTTATATCATCTTTTACAGGCTACTTATTCATAATCACCATACATTTTGTATGAAATTGTGTTTTCCCCTTATATTAGAGGCAGAAATTGCTGCCAGTGTTTTCTTATATTATTGTCTGTCTTAAACACATTCCCATTTTTGCTGAAAAAAAAATAAAATTTTTTTGAGATTTTGCTGCAACTGCTGTAAGCATATGGGGTGCTTTCCTATATTTATATCTATGCACCATGTGTGTGTACAGTGCACTCAGAGGCCAAGAGAATGCTGGACCTCCTGGAACTGGAGTTACAGACAGGTTTTAGCTGCCATGTGGGTTCTGGGAATCATCCAGTTATCTGAAAGAGCTGAGCCATCTCTGTAGCCTCTCCAAATAGCTTTTTTTTTTTAGTCAAATCTATATAACTTTTCTAGTATCCCTAGTGTCACCTATATCACACATAACACACACACACATACATACATACATATATACATACATACATACATACATACAGAGAGAGAGACTTCAAAAATATTATTGATGCCAACTAACAAGATTTCAAAGTTCTATACAAATCAACTTTCAATTATTCTTATTAAGGACAATGAAGAAGAAGAGAGATGTGGCTCAACTGGCAGAGTGTTGGCCTAGCATGCATGAAGATCTTGGGTTAGGCTCTAAGCAGCACATAAATTAGGCATGGTAGTGCATGTCTATAATCCCAGCACTGGAGAGTAGAGAAACAACAGTTCTGAATCCTCCTCAGCTGCACTACAAGTGCGAGAAGCCTGGATCCATGAGTCTCTATCTCAAAGAAAACAGTAAAGGAAAGAGAAGAGCTGGTGGACAAAGGCACTCTTGAACTTGAGTGACCATGATGGGCAATGAAGGAACCAAATGTATAATAAATAAAATGTATTGAGTTTAAATTTAAAAGAGAGAGAAGCCTTAGAAGGCAGAAAAAAAAACCTCACGTTTAAATCTTATAACCTATATTTCTTCATCAATTCCTATGTCCTGTAACTACAATTAGTAGCACTAGAATATATTCTCTAATAATTAAGGAAGCACTCCTCAAACTGCCAAGCATGCCTTATTCACTGGCCCACAAACACAGACTCAACCAATGACTAACACAAACACATGGGGATGGAAGGGAACAAGGCTTTTTTCTGTATTATTTTTCCCTAAGCAGCACAACAAGCACCACAATAGACTTTACATTGTATTAAGTACTAGAGATTTAAATACATTTAGATGCAGGAGAGTTGGGTATGGCAGCTCACCCTATACTCTTAGCATTTTGGGGTTAGACAGAAGGGAATGCAAAGAGGCCTGCATCCTGTCTCCAAACAGATACTATACTATTTTACATAAGGACTTGAGTATCTGTAGATTTTGACATCAGTAGAGGGTCACAAAGCAGTCTTGCACAGTCACTGATGATGACTATACTCAAATTCATCCTATTAATTCATGAATCATCCACCTTTCCAGCTTTTCTAGAAATCACAAGATAATGTTATGAAATGAGGAACTGGTAACATGGCTTGGTGGATAAGTACACTTGCCTTGAAGCATGACAACCTAAGTTTCATCCCTAGAACCTACATGGTTCCCACAGAACACACACACACACACACACACACACACACACACACACACACTTTAAATTATAAAACTATCAACATCCTGTCAATTTTGCCTGTTCCTCTACAATTTTAGAGGATGAAACCCACTCTTCATGTTAATAACCAATTCTATCTAAAATTTCTTTTTTACAATTTTTAAATTTTTAAAAATGTTTTAAACTGGGCTGGTGAAATGGCTCAGTGGTTAAGAGCACTGACTGCTCTTCCAGAGGTCATGAGTTCAAATCCCAGCAACCACATGGTGGCTCACAACCACCCACAATGAGATCTGATGCCCTCTTACGGGGTATTTGAAGATAGCTACAGTGTACGTAATAAATGAATAAAAACCTTTAAAAAAAAATGTTTTAAACTGAAAAATAATTATGCTGTTATATAAATTTACAAAAGTCACAGAACTGTATACTTTTGAAAGGTGACTATTATGTTAAATAAATTATACTGAATAAAACTATTAGACAACTTGAGTTAAATGTAAACTCACCCGTAATTTGCACCACTCTATTTCTACCTGACTTGCTTCTTTCCAGAAGGCACCAACACAGAGCATGAGGTGCTCCTTCACAGTAACAATCCATCACAGGAAGCAGCCAGCTATTTGGGATGTCCATGTAACAAGGAGTCAAAAGTAATCTTGGTCCAACCACCAGCCTTCCTGATACTTATTCTAGGACATCACTGAATTTTTTTTCCCCTCAGAATAAATACCAAGTCAGAAGATACATGTAATTTTGTCCGACTGTGCTCCTGATGCCTGCCTCCTCCTGATGGCTGCCTCCTCCATCTCCTCAAGGCCAAGAATGTACTTAAGGTCTCTCCTTGATTTAAATACCTTAGGCTCCTTCCCCTCGGACTGTACACATTCCTGAAGTTGTTTCATTCTGACAAGAGTGATAAATACGGTGCTCCCCTGTAGTCACAAGAGGCTGGGGCAGCAGAATCACTTGAGCTCAGGAGCGCAAAGCCAACCCAGAAAAATCACAAAATTGTCTCACTTTTAAAATACAGTTTAAAAACAAATCCTCCCTGGAGGTCTCTATAGCGACTCCCTTTCTTTTTCTCCTTTCATAAGATTCCTAAAAACTAATACATAGTGGCTCCATATCACTTCCCAAACTCCTTAATACCCTATATTAATCTTCAGACTCTCTTACGGTATCCCACTGAAATAATTCTCCAAAGTTACCAATGGCCCAGTGACTTCTTCTTTGCTACATGGGCTTCTAGTCTTTCTGGCCTTGTTTACTTGTTTGACTGTTGACACATCTGGCCTTTCCAGCCCTCTTTTGTCTCATAGCATTAAGACTCAAAGCCAGGGCCTCACTCTGCCACTCAGCTACTCACCCTCAGCTCTGAATTTGTCTTTTCCTTTTTTCTTTTATCTCCTTACTCATTTCTCAGCTTTGTCTATGGACTTAGCTCCCTGAGTCTATCCCTCACACGCTTCCATGCGACGTCACACTTAGCCCTCTTTGTCTTCTAGCTGTTCTTTGGAAGGCAGTACTAACATATCTGCAATAATTCACACATATTAAACTCCATCTATATTTTATAACTGTTCTTCAAACAGCTCTTCCTAGTTACTCACAGAATCATCCATCTAATTTGTTGTTTTCTCTATTCTTTTTCTTTAAAAAAATAACAACAAAACAAATACCTGGGGGCTAACTGGCTTACTGGTTAAGAATGCATATTGCAGCCATATGGTGGTTCACAACCATATAACTCCAGTTCCAGGGAATCAGATTCCCTCTTTGGGCCTCTACTACATATACATAGTGCACATAAACTCACACAAGCAGAAATATGCACATACACAAAACAAATAAAACTTTTAAATAGAATTTTTATCATAAATATGCATATATATACACACATATTTACACAGAATATATGGTATCTAATATGAGCATAACTCAGAAGGGAGAAGGAGAGAGAGTAGAGTCATATACAGAAATTAGATACTGGCTAGAGAGATGGCTTAAAGGTTAGAGAGCACTGGTTGCTCTTCCAGAGGATGTAGGTTCAGTTTCTAGTACCTACATAGCAAGCAGCTCTCTTCCAAGAAATCCAACACTCTTTCCTAAGCATACAATAGTGTATAGACATACATGCGGTACATACACCCATACACATAAGGTGGCCTTGAGATGGTTATTGCTGATACTGGATAATAGGTAGATGAGAAAGGTTCATTAACACTATTTTTATAAGCTTCATCTATTCTAAAATATACAATTTAAATGTCCAATATGTATATATACAAACACAGACACATTCATATAAAACCATGAAGTGTGAGGATGAGAAACAAGGCTCTCCTGGGAAATGCTACATTATAGCTTGCATTTTAACAATATATAATTTCCACATACAATTTCCAGAAAAGTGCTTACATCGCACCATCGTTTGCTGTTTTTAATTCCTGGTATACCCTTTGTTTTCCCATAACTCTCATAACTCTTACCTATTCTAGGCCAGGTATGAGTTCTTTATGAAAGTGCCTTCTTAACCATCTTCTTAAGCATTAGATATTTCATTTCTGGGTTCTCACAGAACCCTCTGACATGTTGCTATCATAGCACTTAACTCATTAGATTGGAACATCTGTTTCCTAGAGCAAGACCACATCTTATTCCTATGGGTCTTCATGATTGTGGAATGATTAAGTAAATGACTAATAGGTATACCATGTACAAACAGACTAGCAAAAAGGAAACCAAATAAAGTGGTTTATATTTAGTATAAGATCTTATCTTTATGAACTTCTATTTATAGGTACACAAATGGAAGTGCAGAGAGATATTAAAGGATATATTTAAATGATTTCAGATATCAACATCTGCTTTTTAGCAACTTGTGATATCTCTGTTTCAAAATAAGATCAACATAATAACTTTTACTTCTTAGGAATTGTCTTGATATCATTGTCAATATGTATACAACATTTACAAACCAAAATAGGCACTGAACGGATATCGTCTTTTATATCTGTGTGCTTTCTGCCTTCAGATAGTGATTAAAGGTGTGTAAAAAGGATGGGAGAGATGCTTCAGAGGTTAAGAGCACTTGGGTTTTGCTTTGTTTTGTTTTTGTTTTTGTTTTGCAGAAGACCCAGGTTCTGTTGCTAGCATACACAGAAAGCCAACAAATGTCTGTAATGTTTCCAGAAGATCTGATACTCTCTTCCAGCCTTCATGGGCCCTGCACACACATAGTATAGACATATATGCAGGCAAAAAATCCATATACATAAAATACAAACAAACAAAATGGGGTGAGGGTAAGATGGAATGGTACATGCCTTTAATGCCAGAAGTTTGAAGGCAGAGACAGGCAGACACCTATGAGTTTCAGACCAGCCTGGTCTGCATAAGTTCCAGACCTGCCAAAGCTACATGATGAGACTGTATCTCAAAAAAATGTAGAGAAAACCCATTTGGGTCCCAAGACATCTCTTGCTTAGTGGTAGGAGAAAATAAATGGGAATCTTTATTCTACAATATTCTCTAATTCCATAAATCATAAGGAAAAAACCATTTACTTCCAAACATTTTCCGTTAAAAACAATAAAGTATTTGACCATAACAAATACTTAACACTGGAAAAGTCATTCACCTCACAGCTCAAATACTTGTGCTAAATTTCTACCTCATGACCTCAGAACACAAGGACTTGTTTAGTTAGCTATAGTATAATCACTTTTGTGTATCTATTATTGATACATTTTAAATCCTCCTGCCTCTGCCTCCCAAGTGCTGGGATCAAAGGCGTGCGCCACCACCGCCCGGCTACTGATGTCTTTTTAAAAGAGAAATCTTTGCATAGGATTTCACTGGCAGTCTTGGGCTTGGGCCCTAGGGTAATATTCTCCTACTGACAGACAGCTCTACTCAATGTTTTATACCTAACGTGACATAAAGCCAGGATCTCACCTGCATTGGCTTTAAGATCTTCAGGTGTAACCATGACAACAAATCGGATAGCACGTTCATTTCGAAACATTTCATAAGACCACCGACGGATAGATCGCATGCATTTCACTGCTGCAATACCATTGTTGGCGATAAGAACCTGGGAGGTAGGGATATGAAATGGGAAATGGAAGAAAAGGTAGCCAAGAAAGGCAAAGATAGAAAAACAAGGATACATTTTTACATATGTCCCTTTGTTCAAACAAGAACTGTTGCTAGTCCGAGTTGCTGAGAAACAACTCCTACAACACGATCAAGCAATTTCAACATGTGCTAGCTAGAACTAATTCCTTCCAAATCTCATTTCCTAAAAAAATTAAATCATAAACTCACATTGTTTGTAAATTATTCAATCACAACTATTACTAAGAAACATAATGTATATCTAATAAAAAATAGGGGAAGGTTACACTGTGTGGTGTTAAACACAATTCTCTATTGTAATAAGAGATCTTGGCATCAATTGCTGTTTTCCAAAATACTGAACCGAGAGTACTTTAGAGTGAAAGAAACTGCTCAGCTTCATGGTCATGAGAAAAATCTAAAAATCAAATAATCCTGAAAATGTTCTGTAAATAAGCCTTGCACTTCCTTATGCATATCTTGCAATAGTATCCCTGAATATTTCACAAGCTAATAGGTACATAATCTACCTTTATTGACAAAATATAAAATACTGCATAGAACTGCTTTTTTGGGGGGAGTGACAGGGGGAAATAACAACACAGAATTTCATTACATAAGCCACAAACCCTAGATCTCCCTATGCCTACCTCCCAAGTGCTAAAAACTACCTGATGTCTATGTGGCATATTTTCTCTAAACATCTCAAATACCTGGCAGGAGCCAGTAAACCCTAAGTCTGTCAGCTTCTCTTCTGAAACTCGCTCTGCTTCTTTAAATCCAGGGCTACTACATTTATCTTCTTCCCACTGGCACTATACAATACAAGGTAACCAATTATTCCTTAAATCCTCCCTGCCAGGTTAAAGAAGCTCTGCCTGTAAAACCACAAGATCTAGTGGTGGTGATAGTGGCACAAATTTAATCCCAGCAGATTAAAATGGGAGGCAGAGGTAGGTGGATCTCTTGAGTTTGAGGCTAGCCCAGTCTATAGAGTGAGTTCAAGGACGGCCAGGGACACACAGAGAAAACTTCTCTCTGTGTCTCTCTGTCTCTCTCTGTCTCTGTCTCTCTCTCTCACACACACACACACACACACACACACACACACACACATCCACCCACAAAACAAAACACAAAAACCCACAAGATCTTTCAAAAAGAACATTAGAAGCAGAGTTTCAATTCCTTATCAACTATGACCAAATTACCACCATTAACATATATGTATATTACGTGTGTGTGTGTGTGTGAATATATCAGCAAGCTGTGGTTTTAAATATTAGTAGCATGCTAGGGAGACAGAAAGGACAGCCCTGCATGAAAAGGCAAAGTCCCTAAAAACCTAATACCAGTTTAAACAAACAGAAGCAATAGATCTAAGCATAAAATCTCACATACTTGAAGCAGAATAGTTTAGTAAGTTTAACTTACCTTCTCAATCACTTTATTTCCCCCAAAACGAGTAACAAATTCTGCTGGAGAAGCCACAGTGAAATCCCGTTGTGAGTCTATTTTCTTTCTGTCTCGGCCTTGTTTTACTAGGTGTAAGCCAGACATGCTGGATCTATATAGAGAAGCCAAAAGAAACTTTATATAGAATTTCTTCACAACACCGTATCTTCTGAAAACCCTCCTTTCACAACCATATTATAAGAACACGGCCCCAGGACCCTTGCGGAGTCCACATGCTGCTACATCTTCACAGGAAAGGAGACAATCCTTAGTGGGCGTGATGGGTCAGGCCTGTAATCCCACACTGTGAGGCTTTGGCAGGACTGCCTAGAGTTCCAGGCCAATATGGGCTAAAGAGTGAAATTCTTGTCTCAAGAACATGAAACCAAGGGGTTACAGAGGTGACTAAGTGGTTAGGAATACTTGCCGCTCCAAAAGAGGACATGAATTTACCTCCCAGTACCTGCCGGCATGGTAGTTAATCCAGTTCCAGGGGTCTGAATACCTCTACTTACCTCGGTATACACCAGGCACACATGTTTTGCACAGATATACACTCATTCAAAACACTCATATACATAAAGTAAATAAACCTAAGAAGGAGATGGAGATGCTAGAGATTTCGTTCAATTGTAAAAAGAACACTTGTTTAGCAAGCACAAGGCCCTGGGTTCAATCACTAACACAGGGTGAAGGATACTCTATTAAAAAAAGAAAAACGGAACCACAGAAATGGCTCAGTGGTTAAGAGTACATATTGCTCTTGAAGAAGACCACAGTTCAGTTTGAAATACCCATGTCAGGCAGCTCACAACTGCCTGAATCTCTAGATCCAGGGGATTGGCTATCCATTCTCTTCTGAACCCTGTGAGTACCTGCACTCACATGTACATAGACAGACAGACAGACAGACAGAATTAAAAGTAAATGTTTAGGTGGCTGGAAAAATGGCTCATTGGAGGCTAGGCGGTGGTGGCGCACGCCTTTAATCCCAGCACTTGGGAGGCAGAGGCAGGCGGATTTCTGAGTTCGAGAGTTCGAGGCTAGCCTGGTCTACAGAGTGAGTTCCAGGACAGCCAGGGCTACACAGAGAAACCCTGTCTCGAAAAAAAACAAAAAAGAAAAAAAAAAAAAAAAGAAAGAAAGAATGAAAAATGGCTCATTGGTTAAGGGCACTGGATACTCTTCCAGAGGCCCCAGGCTGGATTCCCAAGTGTCAGCTCAGAACCGCCCATAATGCTAGTCCTTGGGGAGCCAACATCATCTTCTGGCCTCTGAGTGCACAAGGCACGTATGTAGTGTGTGGACACATGCAGTCAAAACACCCCCCATATACATTTTTAAATCTTTTTTTTAAAGAAAAAGAAGAAAATCTAATGAACATCCAACTAAGCAGAGTAGTTATGTAGGGAGAGGATGGCGGGAGAAGGGTTGAACAGATGAGGCCACATAGCTAGACATAGCTTACAGAAGGCCTAGGGCCTATCTTTGCTTCATGTGGGCAGGTTTTTAAACTCCTTTAGACTTTTTTGATGTTTTGTTTTGTTTTGTTTTGTTTTGTTTTGGTTTGGTTTGGTTTGGTTTGGTTTGGTTTGGTTTGGTTTTTGTAGACAGGGTTTCTCTGTATAGCCCTGGCTGTCCTGGAACTCACTCTGTAGACCAGGCTGGCCTCAAACTCAAAAATCCACCTGCCTCTGCCTCCCAAGTGCTGGGATTAAAGGGGTGTGCCACCACTGATTTTTTGGTGGGTGCGCCACCCAGCAAGATTTTTTTTTTTTTTTGGAAACAAGGTTTCTTGGTGCCCTGGCTGTACTGGAACTTGCTCAGTAGATCAGGCTGGCCTGGAACTCATGAAGATCCACCTGCCTCTGCCTCCTAAGTGCTAGGATTAAAGGAATGCACCACTGTGCCCAACTCCAGATTACTTTTAACCCAGCAAGATGGCTCAGTGGGTATAGGTGCTTGCCCTGCAAGCCTGAGTTTAATGTACCGGACTCACATAAGACAGAAGATGAGAATCAGGAAGTTTTCCTCTGACCTACACTGTGCATTGTGACATGCATATCCAATACACACACACAATAATAAATAAATTTTAAACTAAATTATTTTTTAAGATAAATAGTGGGCAACATGTAGCTTAGCACATCACAAAAGAGGAATTATAATTATATGAGCAAATAATTCTTGCCAGGCACAGTAGTATATATGCCTTTAATCCCAGAATTCATATATCTGAAGTAAGAGAGAAACAGGCACTAACATTCTAACATCCTGTAATCTAAGGAAAGAAAGAGTAAGGAATAGCAGGACTTGGGAGAAGAAAAAGAAAAACATCATGAAAATAAAAGAATGAAAGGTCAGCTGTAGGAATTACAGTCTTTAATCCCAGCACTCAAGAGACAGAAGCAGAAAGATCTCTATGAGTTCAGGGCCAGTCTGGTCTACAAAGCAAGTTGCAGGCCAGCCAGAGCTTCACAGTGAGACAACTGTCTCAAAATAAAGTAATAAAATAAAAAGATTAAGAGCCTCATTCTTTAGTTGCCTTGTTTCAATTTTTGGGTTTTTTTTGTTTTGTTTCGTTTTTTGTTTTTTTGTTTTTGGAGACAGGGTTTCTCTACATAGCCCTGGCTGTCCTGGAACTCACTCAGTAGACCAGGCTGGCCTCGAACTCAGAAATCCACCTGCCTCTGCCTCTCAAGTGCTGGGATTAAAGTTGTTTCAAATTTTACAGTAGTATTTTCCATTCTTGGTTCCAATTTTAACTGTGAAGCTATTTCTTTCTTCATCCCTTGGACTTGCATCTTTTGGCAAAATGGTACCAAAATCTTATGATATTGTTTTTTTCTAAAATCTATATAGTTTTACAGATTTGAAAAAAGAAAAATAATCATTCGTCTCTCAGTATATCTATAAAAGTCAATGGGTAATCTCTTTTCTTACCCTTTTCAATAACTTAAGGTAGTTGTTCATTTCTTTGTTTGAAACAAGACCTTACTCTGTAGTTCAGGTTAGCCTGGAGTGCAATATGTATGTACCCCTCACACCTCCGGCTTCAACCTTCCTATTGCTGGTATTACAGATATGCACCACAAGGCCTGGCTAAGGTGGTGCTTCTGAACCCCCCACCCTACTTCAAGACAGGGTTTTTCTGTGCAGCTCTGGCTGTCCTGGAACTCCCTCTATAGACCAAGCTGGCCTCAAACTCAGAGATCACCTGCCTCTGCCTCCAGGGTGCTGGGATTAAAAGCGTGCACTACCACCACCCAGCTTAAGGTTGCCCTTTTTAATTTACAGACTACTACCCACAGGAGGATAGCAACAAGGGACATTCAGAGAATAACTAGTGGCTACTTTACCATACTTAATGGTACAGCCACAACCACAGTTCTCAGTGTATGCTAAGATGCCAAAGCACTCTCTGAGACGACATTTCAAACTAACCAATTATATAAATAAATAAATAAATAAATAAATAAATAAATAAATAAATAAATGCCTGCAATGAGACCCTAGTGCTGACCTCTTCCAGTATATACAATAAAGTATCAAAAAACAAAACAACTGCTCACTTCAGCAGCACATATTCTAAAATTGGAATGATACAGAGAAGATTAGCATGGCCCTTTCACAAGGATGACACGCAAATTCGTGAAGCGTTCCATATTTTTATAACATTTGAAATGTAAATAAATAAAATATCCAATAAAAAATAAATAAAATAAAACAAAACAAAACACAAAAGCAAAACATAACAAAAACCTTCACCCTTTTCTATTAATAATATACTTAGCTACCCTGCGCTTGGATTAGAACTTTAAAGAGGGTAAAGAGTTCTCCAAATAGAATGACTTGTCCAAGTTTTCAAATGAAATTTAAAGCACAAAGAAGAACTCTTGTTTCTTAGGCCTCCTTTCAGTGTTTTTCCAACTATACCATGAAACATCTATGGTAACATTAACAAGATCTGGAAACAAAGCCACACACGCTCTTCCCTGAAAATAAACCTTCCCTTATCTGTCTGCAATTGTACTGGCTATGCATTCATCTCTTTCAGGTTCTAAATCTATGACACCAGTGCATCATACTGATCAATAACATGATGAATTTCACAAGCATCAGCCTAAAAGGAAACACAACACAAAAATGCACAGTAACACCACATAAATGACACTCTGAAACTAGGAAAACTGTACAGTGGGCTCAGGTGGGGAGTGCCTCAAAGGCATGAGAGGACAATGTAGATGTTCTGTATGTTGATCTTGACTGAGGTGATCATTACACAAGTATGTACATATATCATGTATCGAGACTACAAGTACTCTAATTTTTAAAGGGTAAATTTTACTATAGGTAAATTGTATCTCAAAAATCCCAATTTCAAAAAACAAAACAAGATGATAATAATAATTAAAAAAACACCCTCAGGCTAGTGAGATAGCTCGATGATTAAAAGCACTTTGCTGTGCTTCCAGAGTACCTAGGCTCCGTTCCCAGCACCCACACAGTGGATCACAACTGTCTATGACTCCAGTTCCAATGCCCTCTTCTGGCCTCCATGGACATCTGCATGCAAAAGTATACATACTCACAAGTACACACACATGCATATAAAATAAAAATAAGTAAGAAATGTTAATATCTTCCCAATAGCTAAGTAGGTGATTTTAAAGAAAGAGACAATGAATGTGAAGTCCCTAACTGCATATACCATGTAAACTGATATGACCCTGCTTTGTGACTACAATTTAAATTTAACAAGTACAACTTTGGAGAGGCAAATAGAGGCAGGACACAGCTGAAAGCAGAACTGACTAGGGAGCTATATGAGAACAGCAAGAAAATGTTCTCACATTTGGATCCTTCCATTTTTTCCTATGGCTCAATAATTATCTCTTCTCCAGCCAAGCAATTAAATGTTACTGGAGTTTTCACTCTGAAGGGGTAGAACCACAGAGGCCCAAGACAGGGTAAGCAATGAACAAAGAACACAAGAGAAACAGTAGTGCACTCAGGCATGGAGGACAGCAAAAGTAAGGTGCCAGGTGAAAACAAACAGATGGAGCGTGAATGGAAAGCAGCTCCCTCACCTACCTTTCCAGAAAGCTATTA